AGGTCTGCCCACCCTCAAACCCCCTGCTTCGCAAAACCTCCACCGCCCCACCTCCTGAGGCCCTGGCACTGGCCTTCCTAAACCCTAAACCCTAAACGCTAAACCCTAAACCCTATACCCTAAACCCTAAACCCTAAACCCGAAACCCTAAACCCTAAACCCATGCTGTGTTCAACCCACCCTCAAACATGCAACCCAGCAAGCCCCAGAGACCCAGCACTCCATTCCTCCGGTTAGGCCCCCATACAGCAATGGTCTTCTTAAGACTTAGAAAAGGAACCCAGAACAAAACCAAATGTATTAAAGTATAGTACTCCAAAACCCAGTATATAGTTCTAAGCATAACACGACTACGTCCAGCGAAGCAGCGAGTACTGAATAATTAGGGGCCTCCTGCACTGGAGTTGGGCTGTGAATGTCGGTGCCGTAGGGGTGTTGGGTCTAGGCTGTCGGGTGTAGGGTGGATGGCTGAGGGATCCCTAAACCCTAGACCCTAAACCAGTCGAACCAACCCGGTGCGCGTGGGCGTCCTGGCTCTGCCTCACAAGAGTCATGGGTTCCCCTACTACCCCCCCCTAGGCCCCCAAAACTAAGGGTTTAGGGTTTAGGGTTTAGGGTTTAGGGTTTAGGGTTTAGGGTTTAGGGTTTAGGGTTTAGGGTTTAGGGTTTAGGGTTTAGGGTTTAGGGTTTAGGGTTTAGGGTTTAGGGTTTAGGGTTTAGGGTTTAGGGTTTAGGGTTTAGGGTTTAGGGTTTAGGGTTTAGGGTTTTAGGTCTAGGTCTAGGGTCTAGGGTCTAGGGTCTTAGGGTCTAGGGTTCTAGGGTCTAGGGTCTAGGGTCTAGGGTCTAGGGTCTAGGGTCTAGGGTATAGCTAAGCCTAAGTAAGGTGATTTAAGGCGGGAACCTAGGGGGGGGGGGGGAGCCCACGAAAGAGACAGCTCGGCGTTTGGGTGCTTGGGGGGTTGGCGGCTTCGGTCTCAACATTCTAGGGTTTAGGATTCCAGAGTTTTAGGGTTTTAAGGTGTACGGCTTTATCAACGTTCTAGGATTTTAGGGTTTTAGAATTTTGGGGTTTTAGGGTGTAAAGTTTTAGGGCTTAGGGTTTAGGGTTGAGGGTTTAGTGTTTAGGGTTTTGTGGGCAGGGTTCGGGTTCCAGCTGAGCCCTACATTAAACCTTCTCAAACCTAAACCCGAAGCCCTAAACCTGAAACCCTAAACCCGAAACCCTGAACGGTTCTGAATCAGAAGCCCTAAACGTAAACTGAACACCAAACCTAGAACAACTAACCCCGACCCTGATGCCCAAACTTGAAGTCTACGCCCCATCCCCGGCAGCCCACTCCCCCCACCCTCTCACCCAGGTTTAGGGGATAGGGTTTAGATTTAGGGTTTAGGGTAAACCCAAGACCATAAACCCCAAACCCCAAGTGACCAAACCCCCTCTCTCACGCCCCATAAAGCAAGTCTGCGCCGGGGCCCAGCTTGCGACACCAGCTTTCGAGGGGCTTCAGGGTCTCAGGGTCTTAGGGTTGAGGGTTGAAGGTTGAGGGTCTTAGGGTCTTAGGGTCTTGGGGTCTTAGGGTCTTAGGGTCTTAGGGTCTTAGGGTCTTAGGGTCTTCGGGTCTTAGGGTCTTAGGGTCTTAGGGTCTTAGGGTCTTAGGGTTCAGGGTTAAGGGTTGTTGAAGCGTGACCATGCCACTCTTGAGGCTGGCCTTGGGGTCTGAGGTGTTGGGAACCACGCTTGAATAACACAGAACCTCAAGCCCAAAAGCCCTTCACACCCATACAAATCACCGTGAAGCCTCAAAAGCCCCCCAAAACACTAGACCAAAACGGCCTTGCTCCCAGGTCCTTCGACTGGCGGCAGACCCAACAGGGGCCCACAAACCTGCCGAGTTCTCAACTTTGGAACCCAAAACCCTAAATCCGAAACCCTAAATTTATGCGGGGCTTCTCTGGGGGGGGTACGCAAGGAAGTAAGGAGCCCGAAGCCCAAAAATGCCCAATCGGCCCGAAATCGTTTAGTGCTTCAACATCTTGCAGGGCTGTTGGGGAAGGCAAGCAGTGCAGCCAGGTGGGCGCTGTTCTACACGAAGGCTTGCTTCAAAGAACCCTGAATCCTCAACCTCTAGAACCTGAATCCTCAACCTCTAGAACCCCAAAGGGGATTAAAGCTCAAGATCTCAACATCGAAACAAACCTTAAACCCTAAACCCTAAACCCTAAACCCTAAACTCTAAACCCTAAACCCAAACAAGTGGGCGCTGGACCCGGGCTGCGCATCCTTCCCCCAAGGTTTAGGGTTTAGGGAGAATGCTTGGGATTCTTCGGGTTGAGGGTTTGGGTCGAAGGGCTTAGCGTTACCCAAGACGGCCAGGGCCAGGACCCCTTACGGAGGTTTCATAAGAGGTGCAGAATCAGGTCCGGTATGCTGAAACTCCCGAGAGCAACCGAGATACAGAAACACAAGGTAAACATGGGCCTTAATTGATGCGTACACCTTGCCTCCTCGCAGGCACAGTGGGTTAAGGTTCAAGCAAGGTTTAGGGCTTAGGGTCTAGGGTCTGGAGTTTAGCGTTTAGGGTTTAGGGTTTAAGGCTTAGGGTTTGTCAGGGTCTAGGGTGGTAGGCACTACGCCTCCGAAAACTGAACCCCATCCGCTCACTCTCTACCCCCCGCCCGCACAATGAAGATTCGTCAGTGAGTTTGGCTTTCTTCATCTTGGGGGCTAAACCCTAAACCCTAAATCCTAAACCCTAAACCCTAAACCCTAAACCCAAAACCCTAAACCCTAAACCCTAAACCTCTCCTGGGAAGGGGATTCACCGGCTCTTGAACCCCGAAGCCCGAACCCGAAACCCTCAACTCTGCCAACGCCTCCCCGTCCAGGAGCATGCGAGCCTAGGCGTTTAGGGTTTAGGGTTTAGGGTTTAGGGTTTAGGGTTTAGGGTTTAGGGTTTAGGGTTTAGGGTTTAGGGTTTAGGAGTTAGGGTTTAGGGTTTAGGGTTTAGGGTTTAGGGTTCAGGTTTAGGGTTTAGGGTTTAGGGTTTAGGGTTAGGGTTTAGGGTTTAGGGTTTAGGGTTTAGGGTTTAGGGTTTAGGGGTTTTGGGGCTGAGGGTTCAGGGTTTTTGGCTTCGTGTTCTTCAACAGGCTCTTTAGACTTCGCACTAAGGTTCTTTAGGTACCCCACAAGCCTTGAACAGTTCCACTTTACATCCCCGCACGCCTGGCACCGCGGACTTTTACGAAAGCCCTGCTCGCACACGACGCTTGCCTGCCGGAAAGGGCATCTGAGGCTAGATGCTGTGTGGGCAGAGGCTCTTCAAGCACGACGGGCTGAAGAAGCCCAAAGCCTTGAACCCTGGACCCTAACCGCATGCTAGAACCGCAAGCAAGTATGACAGGGGCCTAGCACTCGTCCCGCAACCCTCAACCCTCAACCCTATGCCCTAAGCCCTAAACCCCGATCCAGGGCCAACTGCCCACTGAACTGCGCTCTCCGGCGGCCCCGGTCACTGATTCAAGCTCAGGCCGATGCAAGCTTTGAAAAAGGCCTGGTCTGCCCGAGTCTAGTTCATGGTTGGGATAGTATTAAAAATGTGAATTTATATTCCTTATTGAGTCGAAGTACCCTTACACATGTAAGACCAGAAATTTACGATCCCCAAACACTACACCTCTCAAAACCTAGCTCTACCACCGCCCCCCTTAGTTGCGTGCTTTGTGAATGCTCTCTACCATGGTAACTCACGCTCATGGTCAGGCATACCAGTAGTGCCAGCAGCTTCCACGAATGAAGGGCGGAAAAACGTGGTAAAAGAAGGGACCCTTACTCTTATTCCCCTATATCACCCCTATATATGTATATATATATATATATACATATCTATATATATATATATATATACCTAGAGTCCCTATACACCTAAGTGGCCCCCAAATAACCCCTATATAACCCCTAAGGTGCCTTGTAAGGGTCCCTCCTTGAATAGTCATTGAAAGCGACGAATTGTCCTCTTTTTTGCTGTCGGCGCTGCTTGGATTATGGGTTCCTGTACTAACCCCCGCCCTTGGGCCCCATCTTGAGGAGGAGGTAGCTAAGGGCAAACGCCCGAAACCCTAAACCCTAAACCCTAAACCCTAAACCCTAAACCCTAAACCCTAAACCCCCTGAACCCTAAGCCCCCAAACCCATAATCGGAAAGTTGCGCTCAGGACGTGCTTGGCTCAGGTCGGTACTTTTTGACCGGCTAGGCTCGTAATCTGCAGCCGAACCACGCCTCCCCTATGAGGATTTACTGACAGCTCAGGGTTTAGGGTTGAGGGTTTAGGGCTTAGGTTTAAGGTTTAGGGTTTAGGGTTTAGGGTTTAGGGTTTAGGGTTTAGGGTTTAGGGTTTAAGGGTTTAGGGTTTAGGGTTTAGGGTTTAGGGTCCGCCGACCCTGGCGGCGTGTTGGATGGGAAAGGGTGAAAACCTCGGGGGGGGGGCGGGGGGGGGGTAGGGGGGGGTACCCCGCCAGCTTTTCCGTGGAGGAACAGGCCACCCACACCGCGTAAACTCATGGACCATAGGCGTTTTCGCACAGGGCATAGGGGCTCTTTTGGAAAAAACCCCTCTTTGGCCCCCCCCCCCCCCCCCCCCCCCCCCCCCCCCCCCCCCCCCCCCCCCCCCCCCCCCCCCCCCCCCCCCCCGCCCCCCACCCCCCCCCCCCCCCCCCCCCCCCCCCCCCCCCCCCCCCCCCCCCCCCCCCCCCCCCCCCCCACCCCCCCCCCACCCCCCACCCCCCCACCCCCCACCCCCACCCCCACCCCCCCCAACAGGAACCGCAAACAAAATCACCAAACCCCAAAAAACTTGTTCTCCTGCGGGGTCGGCGGCTTGAGCCGGAGGCTCTTAAATTTAGGGTTTAGGGTTTAGGGTTTAGGGTTTAGGGTTTAGGGTTTAGGGTTTAGGGTTTACTTACGAGGTACACGGCTCCGACTCCACAGGCCTCACATGCAGGCTCACGACAGTAGATACTGCCGGTGCTCGTCGGGAGCCTGGTCCAATGCAATGGGGCTTTGGGGTTTGGGCTCTATGGTTTGGTGGTTAGGGTTTAGGGTTTAGGGTTTAGGGTTTGGGTTATAGGATTTAGGGTTTAGGGTTTAGGACCGTCCTGATTTTGGGGGGGTTGAACCTAGCTGGCAGTACCCAAAGCCTGCAAAACTTTGCCAATGCGCCATTGCGTACTAACCCCTGATCCCCCCGCACCTGCCTGCAGGGGTTGAGGGCTTAGGCCCTAACCCTAAACCCTAAACCCTAGACCCTAAGCCCTACACCCTAAACCCTAAACCTAAGCCCTAAACTCTACACCCTAAACCCTAAACCCTGAACCAACAACTGAGAAACCCCTGGCTTGCGGGCTTCGGAGGGCTTTAGAGTCCATCCTACCCGAAGCAGGGTGCAGCCGCCCCGGAGCCTCTCCAGGTCCTGCTACAAAGGGTCTAGGGTTTGGGGTTTAGGGTTTAGGGTTCAGGGTTTAAGGTTTAGGGTTTAGGGTTTAGGGTTTGGGGTTTAGGGTTTAGGGTTTAGGGTTTTGGGCTTAAGGCAGCTTCCTTAACTCAGGTTCCAGACAAAGCTGAGCGGCTCTTGTATACGCCCTTCTGTGGCGGCGTCCCAGAACCGGCCTCGGCTCCAGAAACCCTAAACCCTAAACCCTAAACCCTAAACCCTAAACCCTAAACCCTACACCCAAGTTGCTGAGTACCCTGGGCCAGCCTAAACCATAAAGCCTAAACCTGAAACCATAAACCCTAAACCCTAAATTTTTGGGCGCCTTGAACTCCACCCGCAGCCTGAAGCCTCTCCGTTCGGCGAAAGTCGGCGAAAGGAATCGCATTCGCAGCCCTCAACCTGAAATCTTGCCCCTAGACCCAAGACCCTAAACCCTAAACCCTAAACCCTAAACCCATGTACCGTTGAACCCCAAAACCTGAGAACCCCCTGAAAGTCCTTAAGCCCAAGGCCAGCGAAACCCTCGAAACCTGGACTGGAAGGGGGCAAGTTGCAGGAACCGCCATATCTCGGCACCCGCATGTCGCTTGGTGTCTGCGGCGGCACCGAGCAGCATTCCCTGACCTCATAACAGGTCTCTTGGTGAGGGTTTTCAGGTTCTTGGGTCCAGGGTTTAGGGGTGTAATGGGCTTCTCTAAGGTATGGTCAGCTCCTTGTATAGCCCGGGGCCTTACAAAGGAACCATGACTTAAAATCCTGCCGCGTACGGACAGCTGGAGCATCTCTTTGGACGGGCCTTTCTCGCCATAAACCCTGAACCCTAAACCCTAAGTCGCTTCTCGCCCAGAGGAGTCCGATTACAGTCTCTGGGCAGAAATTGCCTCAGACCAGCTGGCCCTTCGTAACCCTGGTGTTGCCATCTCGGAAACAAGAACCCTACACAACATCTGGGCCAGTTCCCTGCGATTTGGGGAGGTTAGGGGTACCTTGCTGGGTCCTTGCTATGAGGGAATCTTACTATTTAGGGGGTCCATATTAGGGGTCCCCTATTTTCGGAAACCCCCAGTAGGGGGGTTGCAACGGTACCAATTTCCTGACTGATACCGACTCGAACCAGCTGGACTTCGCGGTTAAGCCGATCTTTGGCATCGCGAATGGCTTTAGGCATCAAGAAGTTAGTGCGCCATGCGATTTGAGGGTTTCCGAAATTAGGGGCACCTTATTGGGGTCCTTTCTATAAGGGACTCCGGTTTAGGGTTTAGGGTTTAGGGTTTAGGGTTTAGGGTTTAGGGTTTAGGGTTTGGGGTTTGGGGTTTGGGGTTTAGGGTTTAGGGTTTAGGGTTTAGGGTTTAGGACTCCACATCTCTGTTGGTACGAGTGATGCCGCGGCCAGGGTTGACATGCTACTTAACGCGGCTTACCCTGGAAGCCTACATGCTCACCCCTCAACCCTAAACCCTCAACCCTCCGTGGGGGGTGGCCAGGGGGGCAGGGGAGCCCGAAACCCTAAACTGGGATTTAGGGTTCAGCAGGGTTACCCTCAACCCCAAACCCCAAACCCTCAACCACCCTAGTGTAAAGGGCGCCTGGTCCCAGATCACAAAGGCCGGGTACCCACCACCGCCTGGAGCGACAGAGCTGCTTTGAAAGGAGAACACGGAGGCTTGCATCTGAAAGCGTAGGGTTTAGGGCTTAGGGTTGAGGGTTTAGGGTTTAGGGATTCGGGTTTAAGGTTTAGAGTTTAGGGTTTAGAGTCGGTTTAGGGCCTAGGGTCCACACAATCCGTAGCATCTCAGCATCTACGGCGACCACCCCTCGCCTCTCCAAAGGTAGGAACATGGGCCCTGAATATGTTCCCTTAGCTTCTTCAAGGGGTTCTGCTGTATGGGCCCTTAATTAATTTATAGGGTATACAAGGGGTATATAAGGGTACCCTGTTAAGGGCCCATACTAAGGGACCATGTAACTACCCTAAGAGCCTCCCAGAGACTCCTTTTCTACTCGGTTGCACCTGGAACCCTGAAACCTAAACCCAAAACCCTGAACCGACGCACAGCGTTTTCAGTGGGCCGGGGGGAGAGGGGGGGGGGTCCCTAAACCCTGAACCCTAAAACCCTAAAACCCTAAAACCCTAAAACCCTAAAACCCTCAAACCCTAAAACCCTAAAACCCTCAAACCCTAAAACCCTAAAACCCTAAAACCCTAAAACCCCAAAACCCTAAAACCCTAAAACCCTAAAACCCTAAAACCCTAAAACCCTAAAAGAGCCCAGGAAGGAACCTCGACATGCCTCAAGGCGGGCTAGGGGAGTTTAATAAGGCTGCGAGGTTGAGGGTTTCAGGGTCCAAGGTTTTGGGGCTTGGGGTTTAGGGTTTAGGGTTTAGGGTTTAGGGTGTAGGGTGTAGGGTTTAGGGTTTAGGGGTTTAAGGTTTGGGGCTTGGGGTTTAGGGTTTAGAGGTTTAGGTCTTTGGGGCTTAGGGTTTGGCGCTTGGGGTGTAGAGGTTTTGGGGCTTTGGGGCTTACGGGGATTTGAGGCTTTGGGTTTTTGGGTTTGGGGCCCTGCAGCCACAAGCACCCCGACGGGAGCGGCCAGTTGTGCGCGATGTCCTGCCGTGCAAACGCCGTTGACTGGGCAGCCCCAATTCCCGAAACCCTTAACTCGAAAAAGAATGCCGAAACGCTAAGCCTGAAACGCATACCCTAAACCCTAAATCCTAAACCCTAAACCCCATACGCGGACGGGCTTCATCCAGAGGAGAGGCCCCTGACTGGATCTCCACTAAGTTATGTTCCACGGAGAAACGGTTTAGGGTGCAGGGGTGCAGGGGGCTAAGGGGTCTAAGGGCATCGGAAACCGGACCCTCTCGTCCCACACAACTTTGAACAGGTCCCGGAAAAGGCTCCTTGCTTGTAGGAGCCCCCAAACGGGGTACCCCCTATTTGGGGATAACACTTTTGTGTGCGGCCTTTTTCCTTTTTGGGGTTTGGGGGTATCCCCGAGGCCTTGTTTGGGGCTTAGTTTTTAGGGTTTGGGGCTTAGGGTTTGGGGTTAGGGTTTAGGGCTTAGGGTTCAGGGTTTAGGGTTTAGGGCTCTGAACCCGAAACCCCTTTTCAACAAAGTCGAACACCAGCTCGGCGGATGTCCCTTGTCTGCAAGTCGAAGACGAGGACCTCTCCATCACCTGGGAAGTTGCTCGACAAGGGCGCCGGCGCAAAGCACCCCTAAACCCTAAACCCTAAACCCTAAGCCCTAAACCCTGAACCCTAAACCCTAAACCCTAAACCCTAAACCCTAAACCCTAAACCCTAAACCCTAAACCCTAAACCCTAAACCCTAAACCCAAACCATTCCAACCCAACACCCTAGGCCTTCACCCTGAACCCCCCCCCCCCTAAAAAACCCGAAGCACGTACCAGGCCCCAATCCCTGAGGCCTGGCCCCCAAGTGCGAACAAGGCCCGAATCCCCGAGGCCTGGGCCCATCCAAAAACAGCGGCACCGCTACTCTCCCTAACCGCAAGTCCTAATCTGCCAAACCTTCTTGCCGCCCCAACCCCCCCCCCCCCCCCCCGGCCACCACCACCACCGCCGCCGCCACCGCCACCACCACCACCACCACCACCACCACCACCACCACCACCACCACCACCACCACCAAAAAAGCAAGCATGATTATGACGATGACGATGATGACATGATGACGATGGTGAGAAAGTCATGGTGTTGATTATGATGATGGATACTGGGAACGACAAACACAATGAGAAGTAGGAAGCAAGGATGACAAAAGAGAATAAGAAAACAAAAACCAGGATACACACGGCAGCAAGCACAAGAATGTAACACGTAATAAGAACCAGCAATGATAGTTGCGACAAAAACAAGCGAACCATGAAACCCTAAACCCTAAACCCTCAACCCTCAACCCTCAACCCTCAACCCTGAACCTTCAACCCTAAACCCTAAACCACCCCAAACCTGAAACCCTAAACCCTAAACCTAAATCCGAAACAAAATGATGCCGTGACGCCATCCGAGGTCTGCGAGAGAATCCAGAGGACATCCAGGCCGTAGTCCTTCGGAAAACTTGAGGGTTTTAGGGTTTAGGGGTTTAGGGTTTAGGGTTTTGGGTTTGGGGTTGAGGGTTTAGGGTTTAGGGTTAAGGGGGGGAACAAAACCTCAAGAAGGTTTCGGGTTTAGGGATTGGGGTTCATGGTTCGGGGTCAGGGGTTAGGAATTAGGGTTTGGAGTTTAGAGTTGGAGGTCTGGGGGTGTTGGGGGTTTGGGGGTTTTGGGGGGTTTGGGGTATTGGGGGTTTGGGGTATTGGGGGTTTCGGGTTAGGGCTTTAGGGTTTTGGGGTTTTGGGCTCGGGGTTTGGTTTTGGGGGGTTTCAGGTTCAGGGTTTGGGGTTGAGGGTTTGGGGTTTGAGGTGCCTAGGGTTTGAGGCTCCAGGGTTTAAGGATTGATAAGGGTCTGGGGGTGTAGGGGTTTAGGGGTTGGGGGGTTTAGGGTTTGGCGGTTTGCGAGGTTGGGGTCTGGGGTTGGGGGTTCAAGGTTCAGGAACTATTTGGAAGTACTTAGGGTTTTGGGGTTCAAGACGGTTTAGAGGGAGCATTTCGGGCTCTGTTTGGGGGAGTTTGGCGGCTTTGGCATTTAGGCTTTGAAGCCCTTAAACCCTAAACCCAAAACCCAAAACCCCAAACCCTAAACCCTAAACCCCAAACCCTAAACCCTGAACCCCG